TCGTGTGTCATCAATCTAAGTATCTATATATGTACATATGCATGTCATTTTCACGTTTTTGGTTTGGGATTAACCTTACATTGTTTTTAGTTTAATAATTGAATAAAACGTTTTTGATGAAGGAATCTCTGTTAGTTTAAGCTACCAACTTAGTCTTGAAGTCGTCCTTTCTTGACATTCAACATATCTAGAGAACAAACTTTCTTCAATTTTTCTTGCGTCAACAAACTACGAATCTCTTTGCAGGTCGACTCTCCCAACCTGGAGTGTTTGAGGCTGTCTTCTCTAAACATTCAACAAATCTGGCACAACCCACTCCCAGAATCTTCTGTTCAAAATTTGAAAAGGTTGTTTGTGGAGGACTGTAATAATTTGAAATATCTAATAACATCCTCTATAGTGAAAAGATTTTCACAACTGATTCAGCTTGAGATCCGTGACTGTAAGATGATGGAAGAGGTGATACTTACTAAAAAATTAGTGGAAGAGGAAAGGATGTGTAAGATTTTCTTCCCTAAACTAGACTCTATAATACTCCAAGACCTTCCAAAACTCACAAGATTTTCTTCTGGAAGTTGGTTGCAATTACCCTCTCTTTGGCAACTTATGATAAGTAACTGTCCTATGTTGAAGACCTTCATCTCTAACTCTGTTTTAGAGGACATGGCAGCCACTTCTGAAACGGAAGAAAATAGTTGCACTCCTCTCTTCAACTCAAAGGTTATTATTTTTTTTTCTCTAGTTATTAGTCTATAATAATAATATTATCACCTCATAATTAAAGTTCTACATTTAAAAAAAAAAAAAAGATTTAAAAATTCTTTTCATTCCATTATTTCCCTGATTCTGCTTTGTTTAAATGCAATCTGGTAACATTTTAGGTGGCATTCCCCAAGTTAGAGAAATTGGCAATATTTATGATTGGCTTGAACAAGATATGGCACGAGCAACTAAATGCTGATTCGTTTTGCCAACTAACTACTGTGAGTGTGGCTTCATGTGAAAAGTTAATGAATATTTTCCCATTCAGTATGTTGGGAATGCTTCAAAGACTAGACAAGTTAGAGATATGGAATTGTGAGTCACTAGAAGAGATATTTGACTCTCAAGGGCTTGGTGTTAGCCAATCACTTTCTCAAACAACCACTCAGTCAACTTCAATGGAATCTACCAAAAGATTTGTACTTTCAAAGTTGACACACGTGGATCTTCGTAGGCTACCAAAACTCAAGAGCTTCTTGCCTCAAATGCATATTATTGAATGGCCATCATTGAAAAAATTATGGGTGCATGGATGCGACCAAGTGCAGATATTTGCTTCCCAATTCTCGAGCATCCAAATAACAAAGGGAGATGACCAACATGGAATTCAGATTAACTATCCTCTTTTCTGGATAAGCAAGGTAAGAGTTCTAAATAATTTTCTATAGAAGTATGGTTATATATGGATTCACTGGCTGTAAAGCTTTTGTCTTGGCTTAACATATTCAAATTGAGGTAACTGGTAGGTATAATCTATAATTCATTTTTCTAACTTTTATTTTCTTCCATCCAATGAATAAGAAAATCAAACTATTTTACTATAGATAGTATAATACTTTAATAAATAAATATCATTTTTGAATAATTTGAAGTAAATTATTAATCTAAATATTTAAGAGTTTAAATCTTTCTCATTCTTTTCTCTCTTTGTAATTGGGTTTTGCAATTCATAAATTAATAAATAATCCAAGAAAAATGATTCAACCACAATGTTTCTGTGTATAACATTATGTATAATTTGAGTTACATTATATAATTGGTCTTTTTTTATTTAGAATTATATGCATTCATTCATTCAATATCACATTATAATATTGTGTATGGCAATAGGAGGCTTGTTGGCTTTGAGTTTGTGTTTTTGAGTGTACTTAAGTTCTGAATGTGGATATGCATTGGAGTGTACTGCTTGTACTCTTCTTCATAAATTTGCTTTTGCTGGACAAAAAAAGAAAAAAAAGAAAAAAAAGAAAAGAAAGAAAATCACATCATATTATGTAATGTACAATATGACATGGTATTGTTCTTTTATCATTGCCCATATTTAAAACCTACATGTCTTAATTTCTTTTCAATTTTAAATTCAAAGTAACAAAATTAAAGAGAAGGATGAAAAAGATTAAAATAAAACAATTCTTGTTAATTTGTATCAAATATAACTGTCTGTATTTTTTCTGTATCGATCATTAGTTGAATTGAGTAAGTGTTCTAGATAAGTTCAATACATAGGATTTTATCATATTGCATACCGACTTTGAATCGTGTTTCTTTTATTAATTTTTTTAATACATTATATTTTAATTTTTCAGGATTCATTCCCCAGTCTAGAAGAACTGAAATTGGAAAAGAATGACATTATCAAGGAGATATGGCATGGGCAATATCCAGGGGACTATTTCCCTAAACTACAAATTCTTGAAATCATCCATTTTAAGGAAGAATCTGCTCTTCTTCCTTCTTTCTTTTTCCAGTCACTACCAAATCTTGAAAAGCTTGTTGTGAGTGAAGCTTCCTTTCACGAAATATTCCAATGTGAACAGCTAAGTGTGGAGGAAAAGGCTGCAGTTGCATCCTCTCGGTTAAGCGAATTAAAGTTATCTAAACTTTATGAACTAAGACATCTTTGGAAGGAAGAATTTGATCCTGAACCAGTTTTCTGCAACTTAAGAACACTAGAAGTGCTGGAGTGTAGCAGATTAAATAATTTAGTGCCATCTATTGTATCTTTCAATAATTTACAGAGTTTGGAAGTATCAACCTGTCATGGACTCATAAATTTGGTTCAATATTCAACAGCTAAAAGCTTGGTGCAGCTTACAAAAATGATTATAACCAAATGTGATTTGGTGGAAGAAATTGTTGCATGCTTTAAAGATGATGTGAATGATGGAATTGTCTTTACTAAACTCAAGTGTTTGCAACTTTGTGGTCTGCCTAGACTTGCAAGCTTTTGCTCAGTGAATTGTGACTTTGATTTCCCGTCTTTGGAAGAAGTAATAGTTGAGGGGTGTCCAAGAATGAAAATTGTTTCTGCAGGCAAAGTAAGAACTTCAAAATTGCAAAGAGTTCAATTCAGTGAAGATAAAGGACTTTGGGAAAATGATCTTAACACCACCATTCAACAGTTGTTCACTGAAAAGGTACGCATTCATTCAAAAGACATTCTTAAAATTTCTCAAACAAAATAGTGTCTTCCAATACTTAATCAAATATATCTTGCGGATTGAACATTAAGGTCAAATCTCAATTTTTTAGTGTTGGGAATTTTAAGCAACACAAACAATTCTAAGCGAAAGCATTAGTATACAAAAGAAATGATGAAGAGATCAACACATCATTTTGACATTGAAAACGAAAACTGATGCAGTTTTTGTGTTCTTTCATCACACAGGTGTCAGCAATCTCATTCAAATGTTTAGGCCAAACCCTCCATGCCGTTTCACCTTTCACATGCATTCTTAGCTAGTAATGCATAAATCACACTTATATTAATCATTAGTTCATCTTAACAGAACACTCTTAACTCCTGCATGCATTCAAAATAAATTCTGAACTCCTACGGATGTTTAGAAGTTGCACACATGCATGAGCTTTATTCACTAAAAGTTATTGTTAACCGTTTGCATGTGCATTCAGATATCTCAAGAAGAGAAACAGACCCCAGAACCACACAACATTTCAAAACTGACAAGTCAGCCTCAAGGAAGAACATTTCAGGTAAAGATTTTAGGTTTGTACATACAGTTCTTTCACTCATTTAGCATCGCATGTGATTTTCTTAAGTTTTTGGGTTTATTTAAGACTCTAAATCTCAAGTTTAGACTAACCAAATCATGAATAGCTAAGTAGCTAAAACTTATATCAGCAAGCTTAGGTCTATTCCTTAATTCACCTTGAAACAACCCAAAAAAATATTTGACAACCTCCCTCTTAACCAATTTAGGCTCCTCCACCCACCTACCATCACACGAGAGCCCCATTATATTATTCTGAGCCTTCCTACCATTAGCAACCTTCTGAAAAAATTTGGTGTTTGCATCACCCAATCGCACTCAATTACTTCTTGATTTTTGCCTCCATATAACCTCCCTTTTTCTCAAAATGGCCCACATGTACTGAACTCCTTCTTATCTTTGACTCAACTCGAACTCTTTCAAATCAAAATCTTCATTCTTCATGTCAATCTGCTCTACCATTTCTATCGCCTTTTCAAATTGAGCCTCCATATTCCCGAACACTTCCCTATTCTAGCCTTTTAAAAATTCCTTCAACAACTTTAACTTTTGTTGACATCTATAACTTGCATATCCTTCAACTGCCATCTCTCTCCACTTGCCTTCCATTGCTTTTCTAAAATCTGGATGCTGCTGCCTTACATCTAATACTCTAAATGGCATCAGACCCCAATCTGCACTTCATGTTTTCAAGGTAATAGCACAATGATCTGAGACATTCCTTTTCATCCCCTTCTCCACCCACTCGTGCCCTATACTATACATCTCCTCTGTCATCAGAAATCTATCCAATCAACTTGTAGAAAATCCATCCAACCGGTAACATGTAAATTGTCTATTCGCCAACCTGATGTCAACTAGTCACATTGTTTCAATAAAAGCATTAAACTCCTCCATCTCTAGACATTCTCCTATTCTTCCTCTCCATTCTTCAAGACATCTAACTACATTAAAATCACTAGCAATCCACCACCAGCATCCTTTTTCCATAACCATATTTTCTAACTCCTCCCATAACCTCACCTTTTTATGCCTATCCTATGGAGCATACACATTCACAAAGTCGCATAACACCTTCTTCGATCCCCAAACCCCTTCAATACCCAGAAAACAATCCCCAATAAACTTCCCTAACTTAACAAAATTAACTTTATCCTAGACACAAAGCAAACCCCCTGAAACACTCAACAACTCCTTCATAACCCAATCACAACCATCTGAATACCATAACCCCCTACACAAACTCCCATCTACCCCCTGCAGTTTAGTCTCTTGCAACAAAACATTTAGCATTATATTAATCATTAGTTTATCATAGTAAACAAAACATTCTTAACACGTTTTGAACTCCTACCATTGTTTAGAAGTTACACGCATGACCTTATTCACGAAAAAATGTTATCAACAGTTTTCATGTGCATTTCAGATATATCAAGAAGAGAAACAGACACCAGAACCTCAAAACATTTCAAAACTAACAAGTGAGCCTCAAGGAAGAGCTTTCGAGGTAAAGATTTTCGGTTGTACTTACTGTTCTTTCACTTATTTAGCAATAATATTAATCTCATTAGTTCAGCTTAAAAGAACATTTTTTAACATACATGCATTCAAAATAAACTCTGAACTCCTATATACCAATGTTTAGAAGTTACAGGCATGCATAAGCTTTATTCACTTAAAATTTTTATTAATAATTTGCATGTGCATTTCAGATATCTCAAGAAGAGAAACAGACTACAGAACCTCACAATATTTCGAAACTGACAAGTCAGCCTCTAGGAAGAATATTCGAGGTAAAGATTTTAGGATTTAGTTACAGTTATTTCACTCATTTAGCATTATCTTAATCATTAGTTCAGCTTAACAAAACATTCTTAATACATGCATGCATTCAAAATAAATTTGGAACTCCTACCGTTGTTTAGAAGTCAGACACAAGCTTTATTTACTAAAAATTGTTATTAATAGTTTTCGTGTGCATTTCAAATATCTCGAGAAAAGAAACAAACCCCAGAACCTCAAAACATTTCAAATTTGACAAGTCAGCCTCAAGAAGGAATATTCGAGGTATAGATTTTAGGCTATAATTACTGTTCTTTCACTCATTTAGCATTAATCATCAGTTCAGCTTAATAGAACATTCTTAATACATGCATGCATTCAAAATAAATTCTGAACCCCTGTCAATGTTTAGAAATACATAAATAAGCTTTAAAGCATCTACGATGGTAAAGCTCTCGTTGTTGTTCTGTTAATGCCATATCATGACAATTAATGTTATTTTGTATGAACCCAAATTTTATATATTTAACCATTAAATACAACAATTAACAGAAAACCTCATTTCTAATGCATACATATAAGCAAAGCCTCATCAAAAGTTGCACTAGCATTAATTGTTTTATTTAACTCAAACTTTATATATTCAAACCATTATCTATCTATATATTATACAAAATACTACCCTATGCATTTAATAGGGTATGCATTTAACTAATTCAAAAAAAAAAAAGTGCATGAAATTTACAAAATGAAAATTGTAAATGATAATGAAAGTGGTACATGAAGAGGCAACTGAATGAAAATTGTAAATGATAAAAATAATTGATGAATGAATGCAGTAGATGAAGAGGCAAAGTTAGTTTAAAATGAAAGACCAAAAGTCTAAGTATTTAAAAACTCCTAAATGAAGAAAATGAAGAGTTAATGTCTAAATATCCAAAAATTGAAGAGTTAAGAAAATGAAGAGTCAAGTGCCCCATATTTAAACTCATTCTTTTCCCTATCCTCCTTATGTAAAGTCTTTTGATCATAAGTGAGTTCAAGGTTTTAAATGCTTTGTTCAAAAGATTTTTTATCCAAAAATTTGTCGTGGGATATAAGCACTTCGATTACTTTTTCTCAATATGAATAAGTATTTGATTCTAATCACTAGTTTATATTTCCCCTAATTATGTTTCATATTTTATCTTATTTTGAAATACTTTATTGCTAAAATTTCAAAAATATTTAAGAGTAAATCAATTGCAAAAGATGTGAAACAAGCATTTCTTGATAAACTTTTATTCGATAAAGAAAATTAAAAGATTAAAATGCGATATGTAGATTGTGAGATGTTGTTAGTTTGAAAGATGATAAGGACTATCTAAGTGCTAAAATGGTTTTGTCAATGAGAAGGTAATTTTATGAGTTATGGCATTTGATCTTTTAGGTACTTAACAATTCCTATTAACAAATTTGTTTGCAGAAAAATTTTATTCTTGGTATAATTTAGAGTTCCAATGATTTGCAATAGTGCATGAAATTTAAAAAATGAAAATTGTAAATGATAATGAAAGTAGTAGATGAAGAGGCAAATGAATGAAAATTGTAAATGATAAAAATAATTAATAAATGAATGTGTAGATGAAGAGGAAAAGTTAGTTTAACATGAAAGACTAAAGGTCTAAGTTTTTAAAAACTCCTAAATGAAAAAAATGAAGAGTTAATGTATAAATATTCAAAAAACTAAAGAGTTAAGAAAATGAAGAGTCAAGTACCACATATTTAAACTCATTCTTTCCCCTATCCTCCTTACGTACATCCTTCTAATCATAAGCGCGTTTAGGGTTTTAAATGTTTTGTTCAAAGGATTTTTTATCCAAAAATTTGTTGCAGGATATAGGTGCTTCTATTTCTAAAATGGTTTTGTCAATGAGAAAGTAATTTTATGAGTTATCGCATTTAATCTTTTAGGTACTTAACAATTCCTATTAACAAATTTTTTTGTAGAAAAATTCTATTCTTACTATAATTTAGAGTTCCAATGATTTGCAATTTAAAGATAAGTTGGTTAAAGGAAATGCTTATTATATGAAAAGAATAAGAACACATATTGTGTTGCCTACTGTAATATATATAATACTACCCTATGCATTTAACTAATTTAAAAAAAAAGTGCATGAAATTTTAAAAATGAAAATTGTAAATGATAATGAAAGCAATAGATGAAGAGGCAAATGAATGAAAATTGTAAATGATAAAAATATTTAATGAATGAATGTGGTAGATGAAGAGGCAAAGTTAGTTTAACATGAAAGACTAAAGGTCTAAGTATTTAAAAACTCCTAAATGAAAAAAATGACGAGTTAATGTCTAAATATTCAAAAACTAAAGTGTTAAGAAAATGAAGAGTCAAGTACCACATATTTAAACTCATTCTTTCCCCTATCCTCCTTATGTACATCCTTCTGATCATAAGTGAGTTTAGGGTTTTAAAAGTTTTGTTCAAAAGATTTCTTATGCAAAAATTGGTTGCAGAATATAGGTGCTTCAATTACTTTTTCTCAATATGAACAGGTATTTGATTATAACCAACAGTTTATATTTTCCCTAATTATGTTACATTTTTTTATCTTATCTTAAAACACTTTATTGCTAAAATTTCAAAAATAATTAAGAGTAAATCAATTGGAAAAGATGTGAAATATGTATTCTTGATCAACTTTTATTCAATAAAGAAGATTCAAAGATTAAAGTGTGATATATAGATTGTGACATATTTTATTTTGAAAGATGTTAAGGACCATTTGAGTACTAAAATAGTTTTGTCAATGAGAAGGTAGTTATTGCATTTGATCTTTTAGGTAGTTAATGATTCCTATTAATAAATTTGTTTGCAGGAAAATTTTATTCTTGCTATAATTTAGACTTCCAATGCTTTGCAATATAAAGATAAGTTGGTTAAAGGAAATGTTTATTACATGAAAAGAAGAAGAACACATATTGTGCTGCTAGTTATAATATAATGCTACCCTATGCATTTAATATCATATGTATTTAACTAATTAATTTAAAAAACAAAGTGCATGAAATTTAAAAAATGAAAATTGTAAACGATAATGAAAGCGGTAGATGAAGAGGCAAATGAATGAAAATTTTTAATGATAAAAATAATTGATGAACGAATGTGGTAGATGAAGAGGCAAAGTTAGTTTAACATGAAAGATCAAAGGTTTAAGTATTTAAAAACTCCTAAATGAAGAAAATGAAGAGTTAATGTCTAAATATTCAAAAATTAAAGAGTTAAGAAAATGAAGAGTTAAGTGCCACATATTTAAACTCATTCTTTCCCATATCCTCCTTACGTACCATCCAAAGAGGAATCCTTCCAGTAGTATTGGCCACTTATCCCGCTTCCCTCCACATTTCATCAAGTGGTCATGCTAAAGACATAAACAGTCAGATAATTAGGAGATGTGATCATTCTTTTGATCATAAGTGAGTTTAGGGTTTTAAATGTTTTGTTCAAAAGATTTTTTTATCCAAAAATTGATTGCAAGATATAGGTGCTTCGATTACTTCTTCTCAATATGAATAGGTATTTGAATCTAACCATCAATTTATATTTTCCCTAATTATGTTACATATTTTAGCTTATCTTGAAATATTTTATTGCTAAAATTTCAAAAATATATGAGTAAATCAATTGCAAAAGATGTGAAATATGTATTTTTTGATTAATTTTTATTCGATAAAGAAGAGTAGAAGATTAAAGTGTGATATATAGATTGTGAGATATTTTTAGTTTGAAAGATGATAAAGACTACCTAAGTATTGAAATAGTTTTATTGATGAGAAGGTAATTTTATGAGTTATTGCATTGGATCTTTTAGGCACTTAACAAATCCTATTAACAAATTTGTCTATAGAAAAATTTTATTCTTGCTATAATTTAGAGATCCAATGCTTTGCAATTTAAATATAAGTTAGTTAAAGGGAATGTTTATTACATGAAAAGAATAAAAACACATGTCATGCTACCTGTTATAATAATTATATAATCCAATTCTATATGGATTATATTGTTAAAGAATTGAGTGAAAAAGTCGAAGTAATCTTGAGATATGTATTAGAAATCTCCAATTATAAAAAACTACTCAAAAAAAAAAAAAAAAAGAAGAAAGAATTCCCTTTGTAGTATTTTTTTGGAAAATGATTGGTACACCCACCGGTTCAACACACTCCGGTTTAGTCATTAAAAATATAATATAAATACAGTCAATTCAGTCGGTTTCTGTATCTTGTATATATGATTGTATCATTATACTTGTTTGTTTTTAATTTTAGACTAAAAAATAGTGATTTTCTAATGATTAAACCAAAGGGTGTTGAACCGGGTGTTGAACCGATGGGTGTACTAATCACTGCCCCTTTTTTTGGACAATGATTGGTACACCCATCGATTCAACACCTGGTTCAACGTCCTCCGGTTTAATTATTAAAAATATAATATAAATACAGTCAATTCAGTCGATTCCTGTATCTGTGTGCATTATTGTATCATTATACTTGTTTGTTTTTAATTTTAGACTAAAAAATAGTGATTTTCTAATGACTAAACTGAAGGGTGTTGAACCGGATGTTGAACCGATGGGTGCACCAATCACTGTCCATTTTTTTGGAAAATGATTGGCACACCCACCGATTCAACACCCTATTCAACGCCCTCCGGTTTAGTAATTAAAAATATAATATAAATACAGTCAATTCAGCCGGTTCATGTATCCTATGTACATGATTGTATCATTATACTTGTCTATTTTTAATTTTAGACTAAAAAATAGTGATTTTCTAATGACTAAATCGGAAGGTGTTAAACCGGGTGTTGAACCGATGGGTGTACCAATCACTGTCCATTTGTTTGGAAATGATTGGTACACCCACCGGTTCAACAGTTGGTTCAACATCCTCCGGTTTAATCATTTAAAATATAATATAAATACAGTCAATTCAGCCGGTTCCTGTATCTTGTGTGCATGATTGTATCATTATACTTGTTTGTTTTCAATTTCAGA